GAAGTCAGACGCTTAACCGACTGAGCCACCCAGGAGCCCCAGAAACTGTAATTTTAAAAAGAAAACTTATGTTGACACCAGCAGCCTAAAATGTGTAATATAAGTCCTTACATTGGTAGCATAATAAAGTGGAATTTGCTGTTCATATTTTTTTCCTCAGGTATAAGGACCCAACCAGATGGACTGCTTCCTTTGGAGTAACAATAAAGACTCCAAAGATGAAGCAAGGCCTTCGAAGGATATTTGTCCATGAAAAATACAAGTATCCATCACATGACTATGATATTTCAGTTGCAGAGCTTTCTAGCCCAGTCCCCTACACAAATGCAGTACATAGGATTTGTCTTCCTGATGCATCTCATGAGTTCCAACCAGGGGATGAGATGTTTGTGACAGGATTTGGAGCACTGGAAAATGATGGTGAGCATCTGAAGAGAAATCAAACCATAGTAACCCAGTTTGGTATTCTAAGCCTTTTAAAGAATGGAATGTCATTATGCCAAAATATGCTGGTGCATTGGTCCTGTGGACCTGGGTAAGTCAGGCCCTGTTTGTAAATTAGGTCTTTTATAAGACACAAAGATTCCTTCATTGCTTTAGGTTACTATCAAGTGCCTCACTACTACTGTAGTCATGGTGCTTGGTAAGGTGTCTGAAATAGTAAATATGTCTGAAGTTTTTACTAGGGATTTAACTGCATAGGAGATTAGGAATCATTAATATACTCAATTGTGAAGATGAGAGAATCGTATAGCCACCACTCTCCCTACTGAAATTACATTCTAAGTTTCACAATGGAACAGAAGTCACTTAAACAACATGATGCTCTCTCATAAGTATCTAACTTTTCATTTAAAGTAGTAAGGAAATCATTCTTTTCACAAATATTACTGTACCTGAAAAAATACATATCCTAAATTGCCATCTTATCCAACAATTATGAAAGATTTTCTCAAGGTTTATAGAATATATGTATATCTACAAATATAAAGAATTTTTGTGTCTTTAGGTAGTGGTCAAAATCATCTTCGGCAAGTACAGGTGGATCTCATAGACACTAAAACCTGTAACGAACCC